AAAACAAAAATAAAACATCCATAATAGATAGAGAGATATTAAAAAAAAAAAAAAACCTATGTTTCACTCTTTTCCTTAAGCTAGTTTTTTATCTCATCAGGTTTTTACTAGCTAAGGTTTTTAACAAGGCAACCATGTGAGATTTTTTGCCACATAGGTTCAGAATCACTAAAACACAAAAAGCAAGAAAACCTACGCAGAATTTGGAGCCAAGTACAATAGCACTCTACGGAGAGAACTAAGAACTATGAGATTTGTATTGGAAATAAAACAAAGCAAGTTTTTGTTACCCTCAAACTTCTTTGTTGGGGAGCAAATGTTATACCCTAAATTAAGTCCTATAAGAATTAGGAGACATGAAGATATCCTAAAAATAGTTCTATCAAGATTAGGTAGGTTAAATCTCACTAGAATTGGAATACTCAAACACCAATCAAATAGATTTGTATTCCTATGATACTTTATGTAAACATCTTATAAATACCTCAATTATAAACCTAGGAAGGCAGATTATTTTCTCCACTTTCTCTCCATTATTAATTAAGAAAGTTCTTGGTTCCCTACCTTATTTTTATTTTTATTGTTATCAAAAATAAAATGATTTTATTAATTTATATCAATATTTATAAAGTTTTCGTTAAATTAAAATATTTTTTAGTGCAAACACACTTTTTATAATTATTTGAGTAATTTTTATTTTAAAATTTAAAAATCATCTAAAAATTTTTATTATTCAAATTCAAATTCATTTTCTTGGGCTTTCAAGCATTTCTTTTTCTTTTTTCTTTTTTTGAAAGAAATTCATTCTATTTCATACTAGTACATGTTACATATACTTTATATCATTACTTAACAACACCCATGGAGCACCAAAAGGCCTAATATTCCAGCTAACAGGGCACCTAACCTTAATAATAAATATCTTAGCCAATCAGTCAACAACTAAATTACCATTTTTAAAAATAAAACAAAACTAAAAACTAGTTTATAATTCCTTTATCATATGCAAATCCTATATTATAGTAGAGCTTTCCAAGGTACCTACTTAGTAACATTTTTAACACATTCAATTAGGACTTTACAATCTAATTCAAAAAAAAAAAAAAATGAATGTTGGACTTGCATATGGATAGCTATTGAGGATAAATGTAACAAGGTTACTATTCATGTGCACTGTTCATGTCCAGTTTAGTTTCAATTATGTTGTTAAGAAGTTTCTTTGTTGAGTTTCCAATATAATGTCCACATATCTTTAACGTTAAGTGTTTCACCTAATGGTTTGGGTTTAATTATATCCACGTACCATGCTCCTTGCTTTACGGAGTTTATATTATTATTCAAATGTATTAGGTGAATACTGTATGTGATTGGTGTTGTGTTGTATAAAAACATATCATTATTGATGGAAAATGTATGCAAAATCAATGGAAAAAATTTGAGCATCATTTTTAACTTAATTTATGTTATTTTCTTCTTCTTTTGCATGTTTATCAAAATTATCTCTTAGGTTTTATGCTGACTTGAATTAGTTATTCCCAACTGATCTTACAATTGGTATTAAAGCTCAGTTCTTGATGGATCTATGAATGCAATAAGAGAGTGTAAACATTAGTTATGGTGAGGGAGAAAAGTATATATGATTCAACAAACACAACAATGTCCCCAAACAATTCTAGTTCACTTTCAAATCCACCTCTATTCACGAGAAAAAGTACAATATTTGGTGACTGAAGATGAAAGCCTTCTTGTAAGGCAATGGTGCTTGCGATTTGGTGAAGAATGGCTTACATCCTCCTCATTTTCCTAACAATCATACTATTGCTTAGTTGAAAAATCGTTTAGAGTATGTAGAAAAAGGCTCACCAGACACTCTCATACATCTACAGTGGTGTTTTAGATTACTTTTTCCAAGGATCATGAGTGCAAAAACAGCAAAGTTAGCATGGGATGCTCTGAAAAATGAGTTCAAATGTGATACAAAGGTGAAAGGTGACAATGTTATCACACTTAAAAGGCAAGTTGAGATGCTAAGAATATCAAAAGATGAAATCATTCACCAATAGTCAACCAAGCTAACAGACTTGGTGAATCAAATTAAGGCCAATGGTGGAGAGTTTCTCGATAAGAGAGTTGTTGAGAAGATCATGGTGAGTGTTCCAAATAAGTTCAAGTCCAAGATTTTAGCCATAGAAGAAACTTGTGACTTAGATACATTGACTGTTAATAAGGTCATCAACAAGTTGAAAGCTTATGAAAAAAGATTAATAATGAAAGGTGAGATTATTGCAACAAAGTGCCTCCTAGTCAAGACAAAAAGGAAAGCAAGTAGCAACAAGTTTAGATTTTAAGCCCTCTTATAACCACTTTGATAAAGGGAATATGGTTGAAAGATAAACTCAACCAATTTAGCAAATTAGGTTCTACCATGCTCGTACCGTAAAAGAATTAATCATGAGGTAAAAAATTGTTGGTATAAGGGAAAGCAATAAGGGCAGTACCATGCATGCAAAAATTTTGGTCATAAAGAGAATTTTACAAGGTAAAGAAGGGCCAATATAAACAAAAACAAACACAATAAGCAAACTACTCAAATGATCAACAAGGTAAAGATCACTTATTCTTGGCTATTCAAGGAAGTTCTACCTCTTCAAAAGATTTCTAGTATGTGGATAGTGGCTGCACTAGTCACATAGCCAAAAATGAAGATTTCTTCATAAAGATGAACAAGTCCGTGAAGATAAAAGTCAAGTTGGGCAATGGGTTAATGATGTAGGCATAAGGGGAAAGGAACAATTGCTGTTTTAGGTACAAAACTGATTTCAAATGTTCTTTATGTTCTTTCCTTGAGTTAGAATTTATTGTCAATAGCTCAAATAATGAAAAAAGGCTATAGTTTGCAATTCAAATATGATACCTACACTATATATGACTTCATGGTTCTAAAGTTATTAAAGTCAAAATGGTGGACAATAGCTTTCTTGTGAATTGGTATTTAATTCAATCTTGCCCATATATTGTTAAATGTAATGATACATGGTTATGGCACAAGAAATATGGTCATTTCAATCTAAAATCTCTTAAATTCTTACAAACAAGTGAGTTAGTTAGACATTTACCTAGCATCAATTTGAGTGATGATGTGTGTGAAGCCTATTAACTTGGAAAGCTACATAGATAAGCTTTTCTAGTTAATCAAGCATAGAGGGCCATTAGAAAGCTTGAACTTGTTCATACTGACATCTATGGACCTATAAAGATAGAGTCACCTAGCAATAAGTATTTTATTTTGTTTATTGATGATTTTAAAATGGTGAGTTGAGTGTATTTTTTAAGTAGCAAAAATTAGATTTTCTTAATGCTCAAGAAGCTCAAAGCCTTAATTGAAAACTAAACTGGTTGAAAATTAAAAACTTAAAGTTTAATAATAGTAAGAAGTACACCTCTTTTGAATTTAATGAATTTCGTGAAAATGATGACATTCAACACCAATTGACAATTTCTTATTCAGCTTAGTAAAATGGTGATTCAGAGAGAAAGAATAGGACTATAATGGAGATGGCTAGGTGCATCTCACATGACAAAATGTTAACTAAATCATTTTGGGCTAAAGCTGTTTACATAACCATTTATTTGCTAAATTCTCTTTGTAAAAAGGCTCTAAAAGGGAAAACTCCCTTAGAAACAAGGTATGGCATCAAACCCTTTACCAACCATCTTAAGACCAAAAGGCAAAGTTAACATCTTTGTGGACCATGCAACTCAGTCCAAGGCTTATAAGGTGTTTGATGTGAACTCTAAGAAGGTGAATGTTTGCAAGGACATTAAATTTGATGAAGATGCCTATTGGAACTTTAAGCAGCAAAAAGTTGAGAAACATAATTCTATTTTCAAGAAAGATGATGTTGATGCAAGCAAAACTGTTAATTCAAATTCAAATGGCAAGATTGTTGATACTGATGATCATTCTCTTATTTTGAAATCAAAGTCCTTAAAGGAAATTATGAGCAATGTGGTTTTACAACAAATGAACCATTTAATTATGTAAAAGCTTTTAAGCATGAAGAATGGAGAAATGCAATGCAGAGTAGCTTGCTACAATAAAAAAGAATGGTACCTAGTCACTTACTCCTTGGCCTAAAGATAAAAATGTTATAAGAGTTAAGTTGATGGACAGCTCAAAGTGTAACAATTTAGTTTACAAAAGTTTGGTAGGGAGTTTGCTTTATCTTACAACAACAAGACTTGATCTTATGTTTGCTACCAGTTTGCTATCAAGATACATGACTTTACCATCTCAAACTCATTTCAATGCTGCTAAAAGAGTTTTTAGATATGTAAATGGAATTGTTGATTATGGAATTTGATATGAGTTTGTAAGTGATGATCTCTTATGAGGCTATGTGAATAGCAACTAAGCGGAATGTCTTGATGACTCAAAACACTACAAGATATATTTTCTCATATTCATCTAAACAAGAACTTATGGCACAATCTATGTCACGCACCAGAACCCAAATCTGAGGACGTGGCAGACACTGTATACTTGTGAGAGGGTCCCATAAATGCACAAGGCTCGGAACTTTATCATACCACAATCTGATACCACAAAAACTGAAGACAAAATTATAAAAATTGCTCTGATATCATAAAATCTCCAAATAAAGTCTAGCTTAGAAGATCATGATTGATATCTAAAATCTATTTTCAATTTACAAGATGACTAGCCTTCTAACTCGTCACTCCCCTCGTTTTTCTTCGTCCTTGACTTCGCTTCCTAAAATGGTGGACAAGGAAAAACTATGAGATGACGCAGTAAGTAAATATGGATAGCCCTTAATTAAACTTATAGCATGCCAACAAGTATAATCACGAAAAACATATACGAGTACAGAAATGAAATAGACATCTCCTCTATAGCTCATGGCTAGTGTTATAAACCTCCCACTGGCAGGCACACGATTTACTAGTGTATAATCCCATTAGCAGGATTTCAAAAACACCAGTGTTTAACAACTCCCACTAGTAGGAGGAGCCAGCTCTACAGAAATACATGTCGACATGTGCTAGCGTTTATAAACCTCTCACTAGCGGGCACACGAATAACATGACCATATCGGAGACAAAACCAGGCAGAAGTTAATAGGAAAATCATAATTCACAAATAATTTCTAGATCATCAGGGTAGTTAAGTAAACTCCAAGAAGGCATACTCAAATCAATAAAAAGAATAATAATTTCATTTCAAATCGATCATACTTGTATAAAACGGGTTTAGTCCCGCCACCATTTCAAAAACAAGCTAAAATGTGCTTTCAAATCGGAGGGCATTACCATAATTTACTTACCTCAATCGCATAACACAGAAAACTCACTCCAAGTGCTAGGGTGACAGAACAATCAAGAACCTAACCAAAACATTTCAGAATTAATAACCATACTACCACGGATCCAAAAGAAATCACCACGACTACCCCCTAATCATGACACCATTTATATCGACATGTATAACTCACGTATTCCACAAGATTTTCTATTCCAAATAATTTAAATTCAGTGTATGAACAGTAACTGCGCATGAACAATACCCATGAACAATACCCATGAACAATAATTACGCAGTAAACAGTAACTGTAACTTCCAAAAATTTGGCAAGGAGCAGAAAAATCTTAAGGAAAAACAATGCAGAAAATGCAACAAAACAAATTGCAGAAAAATATAGCAGAAAAACAGATTGCAGAAAAGTACAGCAGAAAAAAACAGGTTGCAGAATCAGCTAGAAAGAGTGCAAGAAAATGCAGAATTTTTCAGGGTTATAAGAGTGCAGAAAACGATAAGGAACATGCAGAAAAATACTGCAACAATTTGCAGAAAACAACAACAGATGCAGAAAACACAACAGCAATTTTGCAGAAAACGCAGCAAAATTCTGCACCACAACAGGTACAATTTCTGGACACAAACAGCAGATGATTCCAGACAAAAACAGCTGCCAATCAAGATAATTTCTACAGGAATTAATGCTTAAATTTGTTCTAAAGCTACCGGAATTCATTCCCTAATTACTGCAGAATTTGGGACAGCACAGGGCAGCAATTTAAATGGATAATTTGGACTTAGATGGAGCTATCATACCAGAATTTTCCAGCAAGCAAACCGGAGCTACAGTTTGGGGGAAGGCCAGCGAGAAGTGCAGGGGGAAATTCGGGAAATCTACTGAAAATTGGAGAAACCAAGAGAAATCAAAGTAAACCAAGCCAAATCAAGGGAGAAAAGAGAAATTAGTGGCTGTTTTTCCCTTACCAGAAACGAGAAAAATCACACCCACAAAGCAAGAGCAGCAGATGGAAGGAACAGAGCAGAGCAAATCTGGGATTTTCTGCAGAGGGGAAAGATTTCAAGCTCCTAAATCTTGTTCTTGAACAAGAAAAGGAAGGTAAAACACAAGCTTTTTCTCACCGTTTCTCAAGGGGGGGTGCTGTCGGGCTTGGGGCTCTCGTTCGATGTAGGGGAGAAGAAGAAGAAGAGCAGAACACGCGGCTGAGGAAGAAAGAAAGAGGAAAAAGATCAACTGGTCCTTATCCCCTTTTTCCAAATTTTTTTACTCTTTTAAATCTCTCAAGTTTCGAAATATTCACTATTGGGCCCCAAACAATATTTTTCCCAAAATAAGTCCCTAACTTAAATGATAAAATTCCCGAAAATTTGGAATATTACAGTCTACAACAAAAGCAAAATATACTATTGTTGGAGTTACCTTGATCATGCAATATGATCAAAGAAAACATTGAATGACATGGGACAATCTCAAGTCCAGCCATGTGATTCAAATTAATAACAAATCAATCATTGCAATTGCTAAAAATTCAGTACAGCATGGAAAAACAAGCATATTCATGTGAAATACCATGTCATTAGGCAATATTTTAAGCAAAAGGAAATCAAACTTCTACACTATGATTATGAAGTTCAAGCTGTAGATATTCTCACTAAATCTTTGCCAAAATTCATATCTGAAACTCTAAGGTCTATGCTTGAGTTAACAAAGAAACTTTTCTAAGAGGAGTGCTAAGGATAAATGTGCAATAAAGTTATTGTTCATATCTAATTCAGTTTCAATTTGATTGCTAACAAGTTTCTTTATTGAGCTTCCAATGTAATCTTCACATATCTTTGATGTTAGGTGTTTCGCCTAAACATATGATTTGGCTTTTATTATATCCATATACCATACTTTGTGCTCTATGGGATTGATATCATTATTCAAATGTAATAGGTGAACAACGTATATGACTAGTGTTGTTTGGTATATAAACAAACCAGAGTTGATGAAA